ACCCATGACCACACTGTCCCCTTCCCTCCCTGTCCTCGGTGCTCATTGTGAATGGTGGGGCCTTCTCCACATTTGTGCTGGTAGGAGCCTCCAGTTACTGCAGGAAGCTAGAAACCCAAGAAGGCCTGGGACAGTTGTGTGGAGGGCAGGGGTGGGTGGGGGAGTGGCTGCAGGCAGCCTGGAGGCTCTCAGGGATCCGCAGGCTGGGGAGCCCAGGGGAGGCTGCCTGTACTCTGGAGCTTGAATGAGAAGAGGGGGAAGAGGGGACCGGGCGTGAGGCCAGGCTGAGGCCAGGCTGCTTCAGCCCCTGAGGCCCACTTGCACAATCCTATCTCATGGGCCCCATTGCCACTGCCACCGAGTCAGCCTGTTCTGTCACATCCCAGCCTGGGCTGGGCTGAGCTGCCTCTGGCTGTCCCACCTGTCTGCTGCCTCCACACCCCCTCTGGCCACCCCGCCCCGCCCAGCAGATGAGAGGAAACTCCCCACTGTCCGCACCCAGGCCTCAGGGCCCAGCCTCCTGTGCTCAGCTGGGTAAACCTGCCCCCACCCTGCTGGGCCTGGCAGCCCCTTTGTCGGGTTGCAGAGGAACAGAGACAAGGCAGGCCTGAAGGAGTGAGGGTGGGACTGAGAAGCATTAGCCAACCAAGACAGGGTCCACCCCAGCCTGGACACTGCGTGGACTCACCAGAACTGCTTCTGCTTTTGTTTGACCCTGGAGTCTGGCGCCAGGCCCATCATGAGGCCCTCAGCCATGTTCCCGTTTAGGAGCCTCAGAGAAAAGCTCTAACTCCTTGACACCTCTGCCCCCAGTGGCAATCTGTCAGCTCTGGGGAGTCCGGGTGGAGGAGTTCCCAGTGCACCTCCAAATCTGGTTCATCAGGTCCAGCCTAGACACCACAGACAAGCACTGTTTGTGGAGGGACTGATGGCACAACCGGAGCTGGGAAACTCCCTTTGTCGCTGGCACGCCTTCCTCTCTGCTCTGCTCAAATTCCCTCAAAGGCCGGTTCTGTCACCTCTCTCACTGAGTCCTGCTGTAGGACTCCAACACCTTTTGGGTGTTTCTGGCTGCCTACACTCCTGTCACCCCTTTTCAGAGAGTTTTGACCCTGCCCACTTGGCTGTGGGAGGCACAAGTACTCCCCCCCCCCCCCCCACACACACACACACTGCTCTCTCAACTCACCGCAACTCAAAGACTGTGGGATCTGGACAGACAGACCCCACTGAGAAGGGGGCTGCTCAGTCATTTGTTGGCTACCCTCTGGAACCCTACAATGGTCATTACTACAGAGTGGGCACCCCAAGAAAATAATTGACTCCATCAAGAATATAGATGCCCAGCATATTGGACCTTCAAGGAAGGCTGTCTGGGCCCCAAGGATCTGAACCTCAAATGTGGACACTTTACCCAGAGGTAAGGGACCACTGGGCCAGGCTAGGGCTGTGGATAGCCTACTCCCTCACCTCCCAGGGAAGAGTGTACCAGGGCAGAGAGTCAAATTCCCTCCACCCAGGGCTGCACCCTCCTCCAGGCAGTCCCCCGAGCTCCCGTCTGCCTGAAATTGTTTCTCAGTTATTCCCTCCCCCTCTGGTGAGCTCAGCCCCAAGGACGTCTCCCAAGGGCATCTGCTCTGCAGAACCTGCCAACCCATTGAGGAAAAAGCTGTGGTTTCTCCTGTCCTTGGACAGCTTGGCCACACACAGAGGCCTGGGCACAGGGCCCTGAGCCACTAAGGACTCTCCTGAAGGACAGAGTGCTGGGGTGTGACCTCTAAGGAATAGGGCAGAGGTCATCCCCCTCTTGGTATCTCTCAGGCCTTTTCTGTCTCTTTCCAGGTTATGGTGAAGGAGTGGACTAAGAAATAATTCCCATAGCAGAGATTACATTGTTCATAGCAAAGATTCTGAATACCGTCTATGTTTCAGGCTCTGCTGGTGTTGGGGAAATATAAATAAATACGATGGATAACCCCTGCCCCCTCCCCACTGGACAGCTCAGTCCCACACCTGAACAAGCCACACGACCAGGGCTTATGAAAAGCCTATTCTACCACATAATTGTTGCACCCTTTTGAAAAACAGTACCAACACCAAAAAACGTTTTAAAGTCTCACATAAATGGTTGAGCCTCATATTTTCACAAAAAATAATAATAATTGTCATAAAATCTGTTATGATTGTGTGAGGAAATACAATACTCAAAATTTATTTTTGAACGAATGAAAATTATGTGAAATGAGCCGCCTGGTTGTACCCTGCAGCACAGATGCCTGGTGGGGTGTGTGGGGTGTGTGGAAGTCTCACCCAACCCCACAATGCAGAGGGATCCCAGAACCTACAACATGGAGGCCTGGCCCAACAGAGACTCACCACACAGCAACCCGCCAGGAACAAGTCCTTAAGACTGAAACAGAAATTCAGAGGAGGGGGTTTTTGAGATGGGCTGGAAGTTTCCAGGACACCTCGAGAGCAGACCTACAGTGTGCCCCCTATGAAGGACTCCTCCAATTTCTAAGTGCATAGCCTGGGCCATGGAGCACTGTCCTGTGGAAGGGCACTGCCAAATATGGTTTTCTAGTGTCCGCTCAAGTCAAGGACATCACCAACAATCCTCTGGGGAGGGGTTGCCTGGTATGGACTCCTGTATTTCCCCCAAATTATCCCATAAACTACAAGAGGAAATGGGGACATTTAGGGGCCAGAGTGATAGCACAGCAGGTAGGACATTTGCCTTGCACACAGCAAACCCATCTTCAATTCCTGGCATCCCATATGGTCCCCCTGAGCACTGTCAGGTGTGGACCTAAAACCAAAAATGGGGATTGGGCGGGGGCGGAAATGAGGACATTTAAGCACCAGATTGCAGCAGAACAACTTCCCCGCACTCCTACCTTCAACCCCATGAGGGAGAACTTGGAGAGAGAGGACCCACAGATCAGAGTCCATTAGGAGAGCACTTCTGGAGGGAGCTCCACAAATGGTAAAAAGTACAGGGGAAAAGAGGGCTTGCAGAGGATGGAGGCTGGGCAGTTCCTAGAGGGATGTTACTTGGGGGAAAAAAGTACACTCTAAGGAGGAGTTGCAGGAATTGCTACAGATTGTTTAAATGGGAGCTTCCTTAATCTCTGGGGTACCCTGTCCCCCAGCATTGCAGCAAAGCTGTGCTCCATTTACATGAACTACAGCTCCCGGAATGCAGAGGGGATGTAGTGGGCAATGCTGCCCACCTACCTCAGGCAATTACTGATGGGATGGCTGTCCCCCAATCTCCATGCTGGGGTGTGTCTCTAAGAGGCCAACCAGACCATCTCCTGCAGGCCCTTCTTCTCTGTCCACGTGGGGTCCAGAAACCTCCCCCTCATAGGAGAGAGTTCTGTGGTGCTCTGTAGATCTGGACACCTCATCCCACAAATACAAAAACACACACGTGTACACACCACCACCACCTCCCACTCATTGTCTGCCAAGGAAACACACCACAGTATCCCCTCTGTGGACAGAGAACAAGTGGAGACCATAAAGGCAGGGATGAGGCAACCATGTTTCATTGAGGGCACTCCTCTTCCTGGGACTACCCTAAGTTTGTGACTCTCAAGCAGCCTTCTCTTGTGGGATGTCAGAAACCCCACAGACACATCCCACCTCAAAGCCTTGAATCACTTGAGATGGACATGAAAACATAAGTTGGTCAGGAAGAACTACAAGGAATTGGTTCTTGTAGTCATTATTCACTTTTGGGGGGCTTTTTGGGACAAAAAAGGAATGACACCTAAGGGCCAGGGATGAGAAGGCCTGGGTTCAGTCACAGGACAAAAATAGAGAGAGACAAAGATGGAGAGAATGAAGGAAAGGGGAAAAAGGAAGGAAGAAGTAAATGCTGGAGGCCTGAGCGATAGTACAGCAGATAGGGCATTTGCCTTGCACACGTCAGGTTTGATCCTGCATCACATATGCCCTAGAGCACTGTCAGGAGTAATTCCTAAGTGAGAGCCAGGAGTAACCTCTGAGCATTGGCGGATGTGACCCAAAAAGCCCCCCAAAAGTGAAAATGGCTAAATGCAGGTCCTTTCAGGGTCTGGGGGAGCAAAGGGCTGCCCTGAGGTGACCAGACTCCGAGTAGGCAGGATGCTGGTCAAGTACGCGAGCGGGTAGGAGCACCCAAAGAAGCTGGTGAGCAGTTGAGACTAGAGACGCTCTTCAGGGAGACTCAGACAACGGCCCAGCCTCCCGCTCCCGTTCCAGGAAACCGGGAATACAAAGTCCCTTGAAAATGTAGAGAGGAGAACGCAGAGAGGGAGATATCCGGCCGGGAGGATGAGGACAGGCGGATATCGCAGGAGGAGAGGGCAGGCAGAGAAGGTCCAGGTGTTCGAGGATGCCGGAGACCCAAGGCAAGGCACCTCACTTGCTTCTAGACCCAACACGGGAGTCACCTGACTTCCCGGACCCCCCAAACTAGAGCGGGCACCTTTCTGCTCCACCTCCTTCCTTGACGCCGCCGGCTCTCTTTCCTGGGTCTGGGGTCCCTGCCTGGTTGCCCCGTAGGGGCCGTGGCGAAGGCACGCTGCCCTAGGGGTGGGGCCCTGGGTTCCGCGGGCGGCCGGGACCTTGAAGTTTTGGAGGCAGGAGCAGCCCCATCCCCCATCCGGGCCGTCCCCCACCCCTCCGCCCCCCTCTCCCCCATCCCTCCCCGGACCCGGGCGCCGCCCCGCGACTTCAAAGAGCCCGTCCCCGAGCTTCCACGGCGGTCTCTAGGGCGCGGGAGCGGGGCCGTCGGGCCGGCCCCGTCTGGGGGGCTCCAGAAGAAGCTGGTGGGGGGCGCCGGGCTCCTAGCAGCCGGGGACTGAGGGGCGGATCCTCAGAGCCCCCCGAAGTGGGAGGGTCGGGCGGGCCTCGGGGCCAATCCGGGAGCGCGGGGCGCGGGGGCGGGGGCGGGCGGCGGGGCCGGGGGCGGGCGGCGGGGGCGGGGCGCGGCGTCCCGGCGGCGGCGGCGGAGGCAGCAGCGGCGGCGGCGGCTCCTCAGTGTCCGGCTCGGCTCCGGCTGCGGCTCCGGTCCGCGATGTCCCTCTCCGTGACCCTGCGCGGCCCTTCGCCCTGGGGCTTCCGCCTGGTGGGCGGCCGGGACTTCAGCGCGCCCCTCACCATCTCCCGGGTGAGTCTGGGGGCCCTGACCGGCGGGGAGGTCCTGGCCCTGACCACCCCCCCCCCCCATCATCGCGGTCCCGCTCCTCCTCCCCCCAGTCCTCCCGAGGACCTTGATCCCCGACGCCCCTGACGCTCCAAGGCCAAGGGGTAGGCTGGGTGACCCGCGGACTGTCGAGGACGCTTCCAGCTGGGCAGCGCCTCCCCTACCATCTTCTCTCTCCTGCCAGGCCTGCCCCTTTCCTCCCGGGGGCGGGGGGGGGGGGGGTTCGTCCCCCAAAGGTCCACACACCAGCTTCTCTCTGGCTTCAACTGGGGGAGTCACTGCCAGGCCCCACAACATTGGAATGCAGCCTGAAGATTGGGGCAAAGAGACTTGAGCGCTTCCTTTCCCAGTCAGTAGCCCCTGACATTACGGGGTCCTAAGGAACTCTGGGGTCCTTGCTGACTCCTAAGAGCGAAAGCTCCATTTATATTTCCACTCTGTCCCGGCTTTGGTCAGTCTCCAGTCCCCTCACCTCGGTGTCCTAAGGACACAGGAGCAGGAGGCAGTTCTTCCCTGGAGGAGGGAGAGACCCCTATAGTCATGGGACCCCCTGCTCAGTCCACACCAGGCCCAGCTGGCCACAGGGCAGAGGAGGAAGAGGAGGAAGAGAGGATCTGAGAAGGATGGAGAACTAGAAGAGATAAGAACACTCCGGTGTCAGAAGGGTGTCTGGTCTGGGGGAGTCAGAACCTCCCCCAACCCTCACCCCCGCCCAATCCTATAGTTTGAAGGGCAGAGAAAAACCTTAGTCCCTGGCCATGGGGGTCCCAACCAGGGAGGAAGGAGAGAAACCGGGCCCTGCCCTGTGGGCTTCTCAGCTAGAGGGAACTAGGGGCAGGGGCTAGTCCCATTTGAGGACCATCACTTCCCCCGAGTGGGCTTCTCAGGTTTAGTGGGTCTGTGCCAGGAGAACTGAGAGCCCCCTCTCCCCCTACTGCTTCTTCGTTGTGGCGGCTGGACCAAGCTGATGGGACTCTTTGGAGTTCTGTCCTGTGTGGAGATTCTGGGTGACAGGCAGGCCCAGCTGTCCTGGGAAGCCTCCCTCGTCTGCTCTGGTGGCCGGGCTGAATGGGCCGGGCCTTGCACACATCCGGGGGTGCCTTTCATCTCCCCCTCCCCAGGGAGCAGTGCGCGGGGGGTGTGCTTGTGTCTGTGCTGCTGGTGTGTGTTATGCTGGTGTGAGCCCAGGCCGGCTGCTGGTGAGTGGAGGGGGGGGGGCGACACTGGGCGGCGGCGGGCCAGGCACCCTGGGCGTGAGGCCGCTGACAGGCTCAGTGGCGGCGGCTGATGGCCGCGGGCGGCAGGGAGCAGAGACATCTGTTGCCCACGCGGCCGCCTGCCCGCCAGGGAGGCCTCTGCACGTCACTAGGCTTGCCTTGTTTGGGACCCATCAGGATGCAGGCCCCTGACATGCAGGCAGGCCAGCAGGCTGGGAGAGAGTTTGTCCGCAAGAAACCCCCCCCACCCCTCCCCTCTTGTTCCCTAAAGTCACATGGCGGCAGTTTAGGCCTGAGGAGCCAGGATGGCTGAGCCAGGGTTTGGGTGGGATTTGGGGAGATAGACAGGGCAAGGGAGGCACAGGCCACAGCTTGCCCTTCAGGTACCTCCTGGGCAGGTCTACAGGCATTGCTGATATGTGTGAGTGTCCTCCCTCAGGAGGCTTAAACCCATCCCCCCCCCCATGCCTCGGGACCTCCTCTAGCCCCTAGGGAATGCCACTCAGCCCAGGGAGCCAGGCTGCTGGCATCCTGGGTCTGGGTAGGCCAAGCAATTGCCTGGTATGAGCTCTTGGGTTCCTCTCCATTGATTTGGCTGAGCTGCTCCCAGGTTCCAGGCCTTATCCACCTGGGCCTTAGAATCAGCCTTTCAGCACATGGTACCAGTACCCTGAAAAAAGCCCCCCCCCCCCCCGTCTGCCCTACCCCTTCAGGCTTTGGGCCCGGCAGTTCCAAGTCATCCTCGAAATAGCCCTTAGAAGAACCCACAAAATGCCAGAGAGAGCTCAGTGGGCTGAGCACATACCAGCATTGCATGGTCCCCCAAGAACCGAGCCTGGAGTAGCCCCTGAGCACTGCCAGGTTTGGACCCAAAACAAAACAAAAATGGTAAAGACCCCCTCTGATGCCCATTATAGATGGAGACCCTGAGTCTCGAGGGACTAAGACAGTAGGAATCAGCAGAAACGGGAACCCTGGCCCATATGGAGCGTATGGTACCTGTTGGGGTGACATAATGCCCGTCTGGTTGTTCCCCCAGCCTGCCACAGGGGCTAGGCTGGCAGTGGGGGCAGGACTGTGAGTGCAGCTGCTTGAGGTGAGGGGCTGGCTCCGGGCCCCAGCCACTCATTGACCCCTTTCTCTCCTCTGCTTCCTCCTGTGTTTCCTGCACTCAGCAGTAGAGACGGAATTCAGCTCTGTCCTGTGACTTGCCAGCTCAGCACCCGTGCCGGTTCCCCACAATCCTGGAGAAACCCCTTCTCTCACAGGCCCATGGGTCTGCCTCCTGCTGTGCCTCTGACTTCATCCACTCCACTTTCCCTCACTAATGAGGCTTTGGCCCCAGGAGCTGCTCTCACTCCTCAGGATGAGCTGTGATTCACTGGACCCTTCTACCCGGAGAATCCCCTTCACCCCCATTAAGCAAGAAAGCAGTTAAAAGCAGAGGAATCTCAAGCTGGGGAGATGGCTCCCAGGACTGGAGCCTGTGCTTTATATGTGGGAGCCCCAGGTTTGATCCTTGACACCAAATGCCCCCCTCCCCAAGCACCAACCTGGAAAGTAACCCCTCTAGTGCTGTCAGGTGTGGTCTCAAAACAAATCTGCCTGTGGCGTAGGAGTTCTCCATGATCCTGTTCCTTTCCATGGGGGTGGACACTCCTAGAAGCCTGGTCAGGCTCCACTGGTCAAGAAAGAAAGAAAAAGTGCCGAAAACTTGAAAGCAGTTGGCTCGGATCTAAAGAAATCACTCTACCGTTTATCTCTTTGGCGTCTTTCTGCACGTCTCTGGGCCTCAGTTTCCCCCACCTAAGAAATGGGCTTGCCTTGGAAATTAATGAGACAATGCGTGTCAAGGCTGTCGCAAGAGTCATGGTTTCCTGGCCCTATGCCCTCTCTGACCAGAATTCCCCGAGCTAGCAGAGCTGGCTGAGTCCCAGCCACCCCTACTTTCGAGAACTTCCTCTACCCACAGGGGCCTGAATGCACCCCTTGTACTGGCTGAGTCATCCTGCAGCTCACCGCCCCCCTGAGGAATAAGATGCCTCTTTAGTGTGGGGACTGCTGCGAGGTGCCCCTTCCCCCAAGCCTTTCTTCATCAGTAAATAGGGATGAGATCAGCTTCTGTTTCCCTGGAGTCTCGAGGCTGCTGGGTGCTTGTCCCATGTCCTGGGGAAGTGCCAAGGTCAAACCTGTCACAGAACCCATCGCCAGGAAGAAAGGTCTGAAGCAGGCCCTCGAAGGGAGGTTGGGATGCTGGTGTCCTGTGCTGCCTTGCTCAGAAGGATGGCCTGACATAGGTGCCCAGGCCACCTGAGTGCCAGTTGGCTGAGAGAGCCATGCTCCAGAGCATGCCCCGGGGCAGCCTATGATTTCAGCGCAGATCTGCCCGGACAGTGCCCACAACAGGCCTCCAGGAGCTGCCCGCACCTCAACTCTGTCCACTCATTACTAGGACTAGGGAAGTGGAGTCTGATGAGGCTTCTAGGAGTGCCCACCCCCCTGGAAAGGAACAGGGTCATGGAGAACTCCTACGCTACAGGCAGACCCCACTGGAGAGGCTGGCTTGGAATGAAGGGTTACCTGGAGTTCCAAACGCTGCGCTAGGATGGGGAGTGGGCCACTGGGATGTCTCCTCAGGCCTCCCCATGAGCCTGTCCAAACCTCCTGGGGCCCTCACCAACACTGTAAGAGACTCTGCATGTTGACCTGTGCTCCCAGGGTCCACGGTGACACTGGGGTGGCCTGTCCTGGGAGGAGGCAGAGGTGAGATTGAGATCATGCAGCCAGAGCACACGTGTCCCTTGGATGTCCTTGGCACACATGCCAAAAGTGACAGCCCTCCCGTGTCCCAGCACAGAAAACCATACTCTCAGAGAGAGCCCCGTGCATCCGGGTGCTGGGCTTAGGAGTGCTGGGGGCAGAGGCCGCAGCTTGGCTGCAGAGGACCTCCCCATCTCCTGGCTTGCCCAGCCTGGCCTGATTGAGGCCAGACTGGAAGCAGCCAACCCAGAGCTGGGGGTGGGGGTGATGGCACCCAGCCGGAATGAGGCAACAACCACATTTCAGGAGCAAAGGTGGCTGGGCGGGTGCTGAGAGCCAATGCTGTGGCTCCCAGGAGAGGGGCCTCTAGGGGTGACTGAGGATGAGGAGAGAATGGGGAATGGGAGGTCAGAGGACAGAGTGCTCCAAGACCAGAGAAGAGCATCTGTAGAAGTGGGAGCTGAGAGGTGTCTGGTGCCCAGAGCCCCCAGTACACACACACACACACACACACACACACTCTCTCTCTCTCTCTCTCTCTCTCATACACTTACACACAGAGACACACACACACAAACACCCCCCCATTCTTACAAACATACACATATTTTCACACATTTACGCATACCTACATTCACATTTACACTCATACATTACACACTCACACACATTCACACTCAACACAATCACACACTCATACACAGATTACACTCACACATTCATATACACACACTTACACTCATATGCTACACTCTCTCACACTCACACATTCACACTCCACACAATCATACACTCAGACACAGATTACACTCACACATTCATATACACACTCACACATACTTTCACACACACATTCATACTCATATACACTCACACACAAACACACCTGCAATGATCTGCACAGAGCAGGGAGTGGAGGTGCAGTGTGGGGTCGTGACAGGGACGGGAACAAGGTCACCAAGTTTCAAACATCGGGTCAGGTGGGGGGCTATTCTGCTGAGCAAGTCTCCACTCTTTCCACATGTCTAGAGCACTTGTGTTCCTATGTGACCCTCAGGTGTCCTTGGCACATATGCAAGCCCCCTTGTCGCAGCCCAGAGGATGCTGCCCTTGGGAGCTCCAGGCATCCTCAACACATCCAGCTGGGCTTGGGAGTTTTGAGGACAGAAGCCAAAGTGTGGCTGCCGAGAACCACCGCACCCCGTATCCCGGCTTGACCAGCCCTGGCCTGGTTCTGAGGTCAGTGGGGGCCTAGAACCAAGCTTGGAGCAAGTAACTGAGCACGGCCCTCTGGCTTGTCACCCTCCCTCCCCCAGGTCCATGCTGGCAGCAAGGCTGCCCTGGCCGCCCTGTGCCCTGGCGACCTCATCCAGGCCATCAACGGGGAGAGCACCGAGCTCATGACACATCTGGAGGCCCAGAACCGCATCAAGGGCTGCCGTGACCGCCTCACACTCTCTGTCAGCAGGTAGCTCTGGGAGCAGGGGCTACGGGGCCGGGGAGGGGGCCTCACTGCACAGATCCTGGCACGGCTATCCCCCTTTACTCGTTCGAGGCAGGGGTGCATTGGTGTTCTATTGACAGAGGGTAGGCAGAGGCAGTCCTGAGACCAGGGCTGAAGCCTGTCCTTGGGGAGCCGCTGGGGCGCTGGTTTCAGGTCTTTCTTCTTTCAGTGACTTGCTTGGTACAAGTCAAAACACTTCAAAGCCATGTCCTGTCCAGCACCTCATGTAACCCTCATAAGGTCCAACCTTATGTTGCCCCCTCTTGTCCGTGAGATAACAGACTCAGAACCCCTGAAGGGTGTTTAATGTTGGCAAGGGAGAAGGGAAACAGAATTTGACTTTGGGTCTCTCTAACTCCCAGTGCCCTGCTGGCCCCAGTGTGGGGCCTCAGCCATCCCCCATAAAGGCCCAGGCCTTTGCCTTGCCATGGACTGAGAAAGAACCCTCCAATAGGGTAGGGGGCACCCAGCCCTGACAGTGCCTCATCAGTGGTCTAGGATAGAGAGTGTCCTGGGCATATGCCTCCAGCCTTGTTCCCTGTTTTGCTCTGATGATGCTTGGCCAGATCATCCCTGTCTGTGCCCGTCCCACCTGCCTAGCTCCAGAGAAGTCAGACAGCTCTGCCTTGCTCTGCCAGCTCAGGCTACCAGGGACTTTCCATACCCCCCATCCCCCATCCCCACTGTGACTATGTATGGGCAAAGCTACCCCAAACCACAGTGTCGCTAACCATGCCTCGGAGCTGGCGGGGTGGGAGCTGAGCCCTTATACTTGGTGGGTCCAAGCCCAGGTTGTGCTTTGCTGCCAAGTGGGCTCTGCCACAGCCAGTGCCGCGGTGCAGAGTGAGGAGGCGCAGGTTTGGGTGCGCCCAGACTCTGGAGTGACCCCTTTGAGCCTGGGCTTCCTCCCTCCCCCTCCTGGCTGAGGTATGGGCTGATGGAGGAAACATCAGTGAGGCCCGGCCCACTAGTGGCCTCTCAGGACGCCCCACTTGGCCGGGTTCCTCGGCCCTGACTCACCTCCGGCTTTAACTCTCTGACTGAACAAGGGCAGCCCTGGTGGCAAAATGATGTGGGGGGCAGGGGTGCGGGATGGAGGGATCACTGGGGGTCTGTGGAGGGAGGTCCCCCGAGAAGATGATGTCAGGGAAAGGTAGTGTGGGTGGGGTGGAGGTCCCCCTTCCTTCCTTCCTTCCCTGGTCATTTGTTCCATGTGGGCCTGGATGGAGCCACGGGCCCACTTTGTTCCACTCCGGGCATGTCGGTCCCCAGATGCTGCTAGCGGTGGTGTGAGTGAGGACACTTTCTCTACTGCCACACCTCGGGGTTCTAGTCCCAACTTTCCCTTGGGAGCCATGCTGTCCTCCTACAAGTATTTTGACCTCAGAGCTCCAAACTTCCTCATCTCCAAAATAGGGAGGGTCTAATGACCTGGGACCCGAGCAATGATGACAATCTATCTGCTTAGTCAGGAGGGAAATCTGAGGTCCTCCCCCAAGCCTTGCATACCCACACTCAACTGGGAGGAGGCAAGCCGGGGACTGCCTCTTTTCCTGGCCTCTTCGCACCCATAAGGCCTCAGCCTGCTCTGCCAGGACCTAGGCCAGGGCTGCAGACTCCCCTCCACACGAGGCTCAGGAGTGTCGGCATGAAGAGCTGGCTGGAAGGAACTTCTCTGTGCCCACCCACCTGAGCTCTACTAGACCTGCTTCCCTGCTTGCCTCTCGGGGCTCATGGCTCTAGTCCTCAGACCTCTCTACAGAATAAAAAAATGGGGGTAGGGCAATTGCCTTGTACGTGGCCAACCTAGGTTCGATTCCCAGCATCCCATATGGTCCCCTGAGCACCTCCAGGAGTAATTTCTGAGTGCATGTGACGCCAAAAAAAAAAAAAAAAAAGGTGAATTAAAGTCTTCACCTTTTGGCTCTGCTGATTTTTGTCTGGGCCTGAAGTTAGGCATCCAACCGCCTGAGCTGACCTGTGCTTCCTGACCACGTTTTATGGTGCCTGTAGCATCAGCTCCTGCCCAGGGGCCTGGCTGGGCTCCCTGTCCCCCACTGCTCAGTCCACCCTTGGTCACTGAAGATGGCACACGGGTGTCACCTGCCCAGACTGAATTGGGGCCTGGGAAGGAGGTGGATATGCATCAGGCTGAACTGACCCCTCAGGCCACTGCCATGGTGCTGGGCACTTGGTGTCCTCTGACCTCCAGACCTCAGACCTGGACTTTTTTCTTCCATGCAGACCTTCATTCAAAACAGCCTCACGAGATGACCAGGGTCTCGCCCAGCCAAGTTCTGAGTGTATGGAGGACACAGTTGGAGCTGCAGCTTAGGCCGGTCCCTTGAGACCTGAGAGGGGTCAGGGGTGATGTCCAGGCGCAGCAGAGCCTGGGACCTCAGGCCCTTGGGGAGGACAGAGAGCCTGCAGGGAAGACTAAGTGAAGGTGAGGAGGTGCAGCTGAGTGGAACTACAGGTGTAGACAGCAGGTTAAAACCAGCTGAGCTCTGTAGGGTTGAGCTGCTAGAACAGGGGTGAGACCCCCAGGAAACCTTTTGGGGTAGAATAGGGACATTATTTCCTTGGTTCTGAGCTACCCAACCTCACCCCCATCTGCTGATCCAGGATCATTGCTTCTTCAGGGCTCTCCTTGCTGGGCGACCAAGTGGCAGCCCTGGGCTGGGGCCGCTGAGCCCTGCCTGCCCTGCTTATGGCAGGTTTATGATGTTTTTCTCCCTCCTGAGTGGTGTTTGGCTTTTGGTTTCTATGGCGAAGCAGGAATTTCCTAATGGCCTGCTTCCCATCTGGGCTGGGCAGACATTGGTGATGACTCTGCCTGCAGTGCAGGGGAGAAGGCGCACCCCTCTGCCTCCATCCCATCACCCCCCAGTCCCTCCCAGCAGGGCTGGACTCCTCGCAGAGCACTGTGTGAGGCCTGGCTCGCCCTGCCCACAGCTGCCCTGCCCACAGCCAAACCTCTAGGCTGAACTGCTGTGGCCGCAGAGGTGGAAGGGTAGGGAAGTCGCCAGCCTGCTGCTGCCACCTCTCTGGGAAACAGACCAGAGAGGGACAGGGAGAGGAATGGGACAGCTGCAGGGGGGCTGGGGAGACCCCTCTCCAGGACGAATATGGAGCTGTATTTTCTTACTACAAAGGCCACCATTGTGCTGCAGAGGAAAGTGCTGGGCGGTGTCTTTCTCAGGGTGCCAGGCTTGACCCTGGGGGACTCTGGGCCTGGAGCCCTGCCCGCCTTGGACTTGACTCTGGTTTCCGGGCATGGTGGGTACAGTGAACCATCCAATTTCCCACCACAGACCTGAGGGCAGAAGCTGGCCCGCTGCTCCCGAGGACAGTAAGGCTCAGGCACACAGGATCCACATCGATCCCGAGGCCCAGGTATGTATGACGGACACAGCTGGCCTGGTCCAGAGAGCCGGGGCAGAGCCTGGCCCACAGGTTCATTGGTGCTGAAGGTTCTGCCCTTGGGTCTCAGATGCCAAGGCAGACATGGATGCAGAAGACCGTCACTGGGCTATGCCCATACCCATCCAGCCCACCCCAGCTGAAGGGCTCGTCTCTACCCTGGCGAGTCCTGCATGCCAAGGCCAAGGAATCTGTAGGAGGCAGGGCTGGGGCCTGCCCTTATCAACACCCCTAAGTCCAGTTTTCTCTGGTGCCTAGTGATGTCAGCCCAGGCAGTCTGGGCATAGAGGTGGGGAGCTCCTGAGTTTGTCCCAAAGCTACCCTTCTATCTCATCCTAGCCAACATCCCCTGCAGGTCTGACCTTAGGCCGGACAACCCCTCCTTGTCTTTCTAAAGCTGAGGCTTTCGGCACCAAAGACTGCCTGCCTGGGCCGCTTCCGGGCATAGCAGGGATTAAAACTGCAGAGCTGGCCTGAAGGGGAGTGTGGGGGCCAGCTGCACTAGGACCTCATTGGCCCTGGGTATGAGGGGTGGCTGCCTGGGAGAGACTGGGTCCCTCTCAGGTCATGGGGCTTGAGCAAGGTAGACCCTACTCCATGATATGCTCGTGGACCCCCACATATGTGTCCACTCTCTCACCATCAAAGAAAGGGGAAGTCTCGCTGAGCCGGGGAGACCTGCCACAGCCTCTCCCTTGCCATTCCACAGCTTGCTCTGACATTTGTTCCATATCGCCTTTGTTGGCAGCCCTGAGGCCAGACGCTTGCCACATATCAGGGTCCATCGATCCTGGTGAGGGAGGTGACCAAAGGGTTTGTGGATGCTGGAAACTAGAGATCACAGGAGTTCCAAGAAGGTACCTTTCCCAAGAGGTCCAAGCAGACTTCCCACAGAAGGCAGAGCCAAGTCGAGGCCCGAAGGCTTAAGGGAATGAGATGGATGAAGGGAGCCAGGGAGGAGGAGTGAGCACGGAACCCTGTCCAGACCCAGCTCGAGGCTGTGCTCCATGGTTCAGAGAACAGAAAGGCCCCGGGACTGGGAGCAGCAGTCAGGCATGAGGTGACTCGGCTGTCAGGAAGCTCCAAAGCTCCCTCCTGGGAATCTCAGCTGTTGTGTGGAGCTCCATGACCACACCTGTTTTGAAGCTTGCTCTAGCAGTCCCAGGGACCCACGCCGTGTGGGGGCAAGGCAGGGGCCATTGATGAGTCAGGCAGGCTTGACATGGGCCTGGCAGAGGGGAGCGGCTCCTGCAGTCCCGAGCTCCTGAGTGAATGCCGGGGTGGACAGACGGGAGGCCTGAGCTTGGAATGTGAAGCTCAGTTCAGCTCAGTCCTCCAAGAGCGGCTCAGCGCCAGTGAGCCCGCTCTCAGCTGCTGCCCCCCTTTTGTACTTAAAAGATCATGGGCTCCTTGGGTGGTAACAGAAACACCCCCATCCAGCCCCTGCAGGCCGTGTCCTCGGTAACAGACACAGGCCCCATTGTCCCCACACTGCTCCCAGCCTCTGCAGGAAGAAGAAGGGGTGGGCTTAGCTGCAGCCATCGAAGGAAGAGAAAGCCCATAATTAGCCCTTAGACTAGCTGAGAGTACCCTGGCATGCACCCCTCAAGAGGGATGGGTCTGGCAGTGGGGGATTCAGGGACAATTGGGTAATAAGAGGCCGTTTGCTGGGCCTCACTTGGGAACCCAGGAGGGGCTCAGGGTGGTCAGAATGGAGGGAGGACAAGAGGACGAGCTTAGAGCTGGATGGTGGGGAAGGTAGGCTGGGTGCAGCCACACCCCATCCATGCCCAGCCTGGCTCCCCATCATCCAAGAGCTGGAGCGGGGCCTCAGGAGGAGCCACTTGCTAGGGAGGACTCAGCACCTGCCTTCAGCAGTCCCGTGGGCACTGACACACTGGCAGCAGCTCCCATTTTTCCGTAGAACATACTGGAGCTTCAGCCACCACACGGGCAGCTGCTGGGCACTCCAATTAGGAGCACCTGGGCACACACGGAGAAGGGCAGTCAAGCCAAGGCAGCTGTCACATTGAGGCACTGTGTTTGGTGCTTTTGTGTGCAGCCGTCTCAAGGAACTTGGGGTTGCCATGATGCTCCCCATTTCATGGTAAAGAAACAAGTTCTGATAAGTGAAGGAATTGCCTGGTTAATGAGTGAGGGAGCTGGGGCTTGAAAAAAGGCTGAGGTCCCTCACAACCCTCGTCATTGAAGGAGCAGCTGGCTGGGTGGCCATGGGCGGGGCAGGGCTCAAGGCTCCCACACATGGCCAGATGGGGTGAGTGAGCGACTCCATCCCCCAGGTCCCTCAGACCCCCTTCCTATTGGAGTCGCCTATGCATAGGATCCAGCCCTGCCCCCACTGCTCGTGGCCATCTGGTCCCCATTAGCGGCCAGCCCTGCCCGCCCCGCGCCTGTGTGTGAGCGTGCTCGGGTTTCTCGGGGGCTTTACTGGGCCCCACCGGGATGAGGGTTTTCCTGCTGCTGCTGCTGCTGCTGTTGCTGTCTCCCTGATGGGGGCCCACCTGGGCAGTGAACACCTCTCTTATTTGTCTGTGGGGAGTGTGGGAAACAAGAGCACGGCCCCACCCAGCTGCTGGATTGCCTATTCCCCAGACTCCTGGGCAGCTCAGATCTGGTGCAAAGCAAGGGGTCAGGACCGAGCCTCACAAGGTGGCTCAGACCTCAGTGTTGTGTGTGTGCCTAAGTCAGGGCTAGGCTGCCCCCCTTTACAAACACGCATGGGGACAGCTCACACAGATGCTTCCAGTTAACACACGTGAGAACAAGACCCTACCCTTGCATGGGCCTATATTGCACATCTAGAAGTGCACGCCCAGAACAAGGGGGCATCCTAGGCATGGCCATTGTAGCTTCCATGGGGGAACCAGAGGTGGGGGGGGTGCCTAAGTGTTGGAATCCCCCTCGCTGCTCTCCCCTCCCTATCTCCCTGTTTACACCAGAGCGGACACTGATATGTCACCTCCCAGGCTGAGGCTGAGAACTACCTCATGGTCTGGACCCTCAGCCATCCCCTAAAATTGGGCTGCCCCCACCACCAGCCTGGTCCCCCATGAAAGCTACCATGGCTATCCCAGGCTAACCCCCCCATTTCAGGTGTGCACCTCCAGATGTGCAGAAAGGCGTGCCGGAGCACCAGTTCTTATTCTCACATGTTCATCTGGAAGTACCTTGATACTGCCAGACAGCACTCAAGAAGGCCTGGGAGAGGCCCGGGGATATGGTTCAGAGGCATGGAGCAAGTGCCTGGCATGTGCCCCAAGTTCCATTCCTGGCCCCCGTGGCCCCCTGAGCATCACTAGGGATAACCCTGGTAGTTCCCTGGCACTGCCGGGCCCTGAAGCACCAGCCTAAGCATCCCCTGGCCTTGCTTCTTGAGGAGAGACCACCTGTTCCACTGAGCACCACTGAGGAGACTCTGCTAAAGAACAAAGGGAAGGCCTAACATAGTAAGGTGGGGTGCAATGTGTGAAGATGGGGTGAAGAGCCTTGCTCCAGGTCTCTCAGTGCCTCGGGGCCCCTCTCTCCCAGGATGGCAGCCCAGCCACCAGCAGGAGGTCCTCCATCACTGGCATTGGGCCTGAAGACAGCAGGTCAGCCCTGGGCTCCCCTTATGGGCAACCACCTCGTCTCCCAGCCCCCCACAACGGCAGCAGCGACGCCACCTTCCTGGCCCAGATGAACAATCTGCACGTGTCACCACCCCACAGGTACTACAGAGAGCTCTGAGCCTCCCAGGAAGATCCTCGTCCTCAGTCAGAGCTCCCCAGGTCCCAGCCTGATCCCTGGGGCTCTGCTGGTGGCAATTCTGACCCAGGAAATCTTGCCCAAGCCCTGCACCTGCAGAGCTAAGCCTGGTCCTGCAGCCCTGTCCCTCCCGCATCTCTTTTCTGCAGCGCTGACCCTGCCAGAGGCCTCTCACGGAGCCGTGACTGCGTGGACCTGGGCTCCGAGGTGTACCGGATGCTCCAGGAGCCAGCTGAGCCCCCTTCCTCAGAACCCAAGCAGTCAGGCTCCTTTCGCTACTTGCAGGGCATGCTGGAGGCCGGTGAGGGGGGTAAGACTTCGGCCACCTGGCTGCCCCTACCCCAGCCTTCCCACACCCTGTGGTGACCCCCACAGCCTTGTCTTGTGACCCTGCTCTCTGTCTTGCAGCCTTCCATCTCCTGTCACTGACATCTTCCCTCCAGCCAGCACTCTTTGGTTTCGGGTTTTGTTGTTGTTAGGCCACACCTACTGATGCTTAGGGGTTCCTCCTGGCTCTGTGCTCAAGAATTACGCCTGGCAGTGCTTGGGGGACTCTATGGGTTGCTGAGTATCAAACCCAGGTCCTCCTGTGTGCAAGGCAAATGCCCTACCCACTGTACTATCACCCTGCCCTCCCCCCACCCCAAGCCAGCATTTATCTGCTTACCACGACCCTCTGTCTTGGTCCCTCCCGCACCTGAGTCCTTAAACCCCATCCTTAAACTCGTGGCCCAACCCCACATCCCGCGTTAAGTGCCCCCCTCCCCGTCTGACCGCCGCACCTGGCTCATTCCACCCGCGCTGCGGCTTTCAGGGGAGCGGCCCGGGCCCGGTGGTCCCCGGAACCTCAAGCCCGCAGCGAGCAAGTTGGGCGCCCCGCTGGGTGGCCTCCAGGGACTGCCCGAGTGCACCCGCTGCGGCCACGGCATCGTGTGAGTAACCGCCTCCACCCCCTCCACGCCCGTGACACCCACCCCCACCCCCGGCGAGGCAAGTCGCCCAAACCTGCCCTCCCCGCCTTCCCGCATCAGGGGCACCATCGTCAAGGCGCGCGACAAGCTCTATCACCCCGAGTGCTTCATGTGCAGCGACTGCGGCCTGAACCTCAAGCAGCGCGGCTACTTCTTCCTGGACGAGCGGCTCTACTGCGAGAACCACGCCAAGGCGCGCGTCAAGCCGCCCGAGGGCTACGATGTGGTGGCGGTGTACCCCAACGCCAAGGTGGAGCTCGTCTGAGCCGCGCGTCCCCCAACGCCCGGCCCGCCCCCGCTTCTTCCCAGACACACCCCACCCCCCTCTTCGGCTCCTGTAAATACGCCTTGGCCCCGCCGCGTCTCTAATAAACGCCTCCCGCTGCACCACTCCCGAGGCCGTCGCGCCCTGGCCCGCCCGCCCCAGCGCCGCGACCGTCCAGGTGCCCCGCGGACACTGCGGGGCTGTCCCCTCCCGGGAGGCGTCACAAGGGGGTGCTGTAAGGCCACGTCTAGCCCCGGGGGCTAACCTGGGTAGAATCGGTTCCGTGCTAGCTGGGAGAACTCGGGGATGAGAAGGGAAAGCAGTGCCCCGGGAGGCTAAGGCCAAGCCCAGTGGAAAATCCCGGTTTGGCCACCAGCAGCAGAGGGGGGGCGGCTCGCAGCGGAGGGAGGGGCTGTGGGCAGAGAAACGTGAATAGAGGAGGGGACAGGACGGGGAGACCGCAGCAGAGATGGGGGATGGGGGGTGGAGGGGTTGGCAGCTGCCTCCTGGTATTTTCTCATACCTCTGCCAACCCACAAGGTTTATTCATTTTTTTTTCAGCGACTTCTTCCCACACCCCCACCCCAGCATCCCTATTTTCTTTCCCTTTTCCCCACCCCCACGTGGGTCGCGTTCTCTCTCTCTCTCTCTCTCTCTCTCTCTCTCTCTCTCTCTCTCTCTCTCTCTCTCTCTCCTCTCTCTCATGGGGGGGCGGGGGGAGGGGAAAGCGGGAGAAATCGGTGAAGGAACCCAAACACTTTCTTCTCTCTCCCATCTCAAGGATAAACAAGCCTCCTTCCCCCAGGCCAATCTTGCATTGCACATTGCCCTTTTACACTCCCACCTAAAAATACCTGAATAGTGTCAGAATTGTGGCTGTTTATACCCCACTATAACAGCCGGGATCCTTGGTCATGTGGTTAACTTGGAGCAGGGAGCAGCCCCTTTTTATGATCCCGGTTTATTTAGCCAAGCCGTGAGTGTTGTACAGTCTGTGCTATTTTTCCATTTTGTCACATCACTAACCACAAAGACACCTGTTCACACCATCAGCATAGGACACTGCCATTTCCTTCTGCGCTTACCAACACAAGGAGTTGTCAAATAGTTTTCCTTTTTGTTCAATATGATGCATAAAACATGCTCTGTTCTTGTTTCAATTTGAGTTTCTGTTATTCCCAGTCAAGAGTTTTGCTTCAACAAACCTTTATTGCTCACTGGTGGGAAAGAATGATCTTCCCCAACTATCCGTGAGGCTTTCACCTCTCTACTCATTTTCCTGAGGTTTATTAAACTGCTTAGTGATGGGTCCTTTTCATGCTTTTATAAGAATCTTTGTTACTGAATTCTATTCCAAGGATCTATTTTCTGATTATGGTGACATCACACTGTTTAATGACTACTGTTTTAGAGTTTGATCTTCCAGTTCCTCTGCTTATTCTTCCTTTACAAACATGTCAAGGCTATTCTTGCACATTTCCAATTGTTGGTGTTCAGATGCAGTGTGTCAGGTTGTCTCTGGAAAAAATAAACTAAAATTTCTTTGGATAGTTACAGCAGTAGCCCTGAATCCAGAGGTTGGAAAGAATAGGTAAGGGGAAGACAGTGACCTGCATTATTTGGGTGTTTCGTGGCATCCTCCTATATCTTAACTCCCATTTTCTTTTTTCTTTCTTTTTTTCTCATTTATGTAGCACATCCCGTTGTGCTCAGGGTCACTCTGGTGGTGCTGGGGGGTGTGGGCCAGAAATCAAACCAGGAGCTCCACTTGCAAAACATGGGCTCAGTCATTTGAGTCCTTTTGCTGCTCTGTGCTTCTCCTTAGAGGTTCCTTCCTGCAGGAACCTCCCCTCCCCAGAGCGAAACCTGGGACAGTGAGCAAGTTCCTCCAGCTCCCAAAAGGAAGTGAAATAGAGGGGGTTGAACCGGATCCTTAGGATGACTCTGTATCCACCAGTCCTTGTCTCCTTCTCATTGAGCAGCTGAGCCCTATGTAGGTGTGTGTGCGCGCGCGCGCACACACACACACACACACACACACACACACACACACACAACTTTAACTCACCCCCTCCCCCACTGGGGCTGTACCTGAGCCTGATGGGGCATTGGACTAGCCTGGCCTTCTCTGTCAGACTGCAAATTCCAGTCCCAGCAGGACATGGGCAGAAATAGAGGGGATGATGGACAGCCAGACAGGCTATTAAGAGGCAAGAGCAGGTGGAAGAATACTGCCCCAGTCCCACCCTTGCCCCTCCTAGACTCATCCAGGATGATCCGATCCCAGACTTGCAACACCTCCACCCCCAACCCTGGTGGGAGTCTTTGGACCACCTTGGCACTGAAAAATCACCTGCCAACCCAAAAGCTCTGCTTTTACCTGGTGCCACTACCAGAGCAGCAGCCCTCCTTGGGTGGACACAGACTAGGAGGGACAGGAGCTGAGAGGCCTGTGCGGCCAGCCTGATCTCTGCTTCAAGCTCCAATTGCTGCCTGGGGGTCCTGTCAGGACCCACACATGGTGGAGCCTGAAAAGCCTGGAGGCAGTTCTCTGTGGCCCAAGGTCCTATGTCTGAGACAGAACCAATAGAGTCAAGGAGGACATGCCAGACCCAGGATCTGGTCAGGATCCCCTGCAAAAAATTTCAGACTGATAGGTTTCTTCCAAGATATTCAGAATAGGCTTCTCCCAGTATATGTCACCTTAGTGTATGGAAGGAGAGTCCAGCTTGGGCCTGAGAGCCTGGGGAGGAAGTGTTACCTTAACCTTAAAGAAGAAACATGACCTCTGAGTTTAGGGAGGGGGTTAGTGGAGAGGGGGTTGGGACCACACCAGATGCTGTTCAGGGGTTCCTCCTGGCTCTGCACGCAGGTATTTCTCCTGGTGGTGCTCAGGGCACCATTTGGGATGCCAGAGGCATTTGGAAAGATCTCACAGGAGGGTTGACATGTAAGCAGAGACCAAGGCTTTGGGGTGTGTCTGTGTGGGTCTTTGGGGAAAGTACACTGCAGGCAAAGGAGCAGATGCCTAGGCTGGGTCAGGAAGACCAGTGCTCACCATCTAAGACCTGGGAAGACCCAGCAGCAGAGCATGGGGCCATCGACAGAACTGCAGCGAGAGCGCTGGCTGCGTTGACCTTATGAGCCACTGACAGGAATTTTGGCTTTCACTCAGATAAGAAGTCAGAGGAGCAGCGTGATCTGGGTGTTTCTCTTTTAACCAGGATCACTCCAGCTGCTGTAAAGAGAATGGACGGGAAGGGGCAAAGGTAGAAGTAGGCATGACTACTTTTATCACGAACTAATCTCTAACCAGCCAACTTCGCTCTGCCTCCAGGGCCCTGCCCCCATCCAGGCCCTCAGCCTTCCAGGCCCTGCCCGCATTCCCATCTCCCATGTGCCCCTTAGTCCCTTCTCCACACAACACCAAAGGGAGCTTCTCAAAATGCATTCCTGGGACCAGACAGAATACAGTGGGTAGGGCGCTTGTCTTGCAGATTCAATACCCTGGCACCACATGAGGAGCCCCCGGGCCCCTCTAGGTGAGAAGCCTGAGCACAGCGCCAGGAGTAAGCACTTCCAGGCATGGCATCAAAACAAAGCAAACAAACAACAAATGCAGTTCTTGTTGCTGTGCCTCTTGTCAAGGAGAGCTGCTGCTGCTCTCATACTGAGTCTCAGCTTCTATTCCCTGCCCACCACCGCCTCCTGGCCCCCAACCCAGTCGTGCTGGGCTGTAGCCTCTCCCAGGCTCCTGCTGCCTCCCTTCCCTGCAAGAAACTCGGAGTAAAAACAGTCCCTCGTCTTACTGCTCTATGTGACGAACTTCATTCTCCTACCTACTTCCCTGGTAGTAAAGCCATGTGAAGGGGAGTTGGTAGGCAGGAGAAGCCAGAGGCTCCCTGGCCAAGGACCCAGCCCCATAGGCCCACCTTGGCCCTTGATGCCCAAGGTGCTGTGATGCCCAGAAGATCAGGCCACAGGCACAGAGTCAAACATTCCTCTGTTCACTGCCCACACCTGCCCTCACCCCCCCTCCCCTCCCCGGGCCCCCCCCCCCCACCCCGCGTCTCTGCCCTCCAGCTTCATCCAGGACAGCTTCGAACCTAGGCAACAACTGCTCGTCTCTGAATCTGCTTCATGCCCAACTCTCACCTCTGGTTAATTTCCTGAGCTCACATTTTCTGAGCTGATATTTAATAGGTTCCCATGCATTGTTCCTCAGCCTCTAGTGGAGGTGGAGGTCTGGAAAGGAATTAGGATTAGTAAAGGTTCCCCCACCTCTAACAGATTAAGGACTGTCCCTGTGTCCTTTCTACCACAGGTGAAAAACTCAATTTGGATTTTCTCAAAAATCAAGTTTTATCTTTTCTCCTCTCTAACATGGAGCCTTTGTGGCTGAAGACAAAAGTTAGAAACCCCAGAAGCCACCAAAGGCCTCCTCTGTTCCTGCAGTGTCTAGGGTTGGCCTGAGCCACATGGACTCAGAACTCTGTTCAGCCCAGCCGTGAATACAGTGTAAGACTGCATCCCACTCACACCTGCTCAGCCAGGCTCACACCACACACCTGCTCCTTTACCCACAGAAGCAGCTAGCTAGCATAAGGGTGCCTTACTGTTCCTCATGGCATTCTCAGCCATCAGGCATGGTTCCATGGGATTACACATGGTTCAGAAGCGCCACGGGTCGGACAATCACTATAATAGCAACTAATCCCTCCAACAGCCTCAGGGAACTGATCTTTCTCCTTCTGAGTCCTCCCTTCACTTTATAGATGCACTAAGAAAGGTTGAGAAACAGCGTAGCTATCAGTGTCAGGAATATTCAAGACAATTGCCAGTGCTCATTCTTCACTTGGAGACGCTGAGTGTTTTACCAATGATCTTGAGACTCTGACCAGGCCACTTTGGGAGGGTGCTGATCTATCTCTGCTTGGCAAATTCCCCAGAATAGTCCAAGGAGCAGATTCAGGCCTCAGGCAACCCTCACTCAGGGCATGGAATGAAGAAGATGGGTGGGGGCCAGAGAGACAGTACAAAGGGTTAGGTGCTAGCCTTGCATGTGGCCGAGTTGGGTTCCATCCCTGGTACCACATATAGTCCCTGAGGGCCACCTGA